TTTCTTTTCATGACTACTGCAGAAAAGTCCTAATTATAAATTTGTTACCCTGGCATTATTCCATGGCAATGGGCTGTGGCCGCAGAGTGACAGCTCTACAGCAAGATCAGGTGGTGAAAAGGGGGAGGCAGAGATGACTTCGAATTTTTCTCTTAAACCTCTTAAAAATCTCATCAAACATGGCACTGAGAGAGGGAAAATTCCCTAGAAAAATCACATATTTCAGGCCGGGCGCAGTGACTCACGCCTGTAATCCCAGCACTTTGGGAGGCCGAGGCGGGCGGATCACTTGAGGTCAGGAGTTCAAGACCAGCCTGGCCAACATGGCGAAACCCCATCCCTACTACAAATGCAAAAATTAGACAGGCGCGGTGCATGCCTATAATCCCAGCTACTCAGAGGCTGAGGCAGGAGAATCACTTGAACCTGGGAGGCGGAGGTTGCAGTAAGCCGAGATCGCACCACTGCACTCCAGCCTGCGCGACAGAGTGAGGTCTGTCTTAAAAAAAAAAAAAAAAAAAAAAAAAAAATCACATTTCAAGTATCATTTTCACAACTCAGTTCTCACTTAGAATTTTTTGTTGCTTTCCAGGTACCCTCATCTCCTTCCCCAGGTACAACCTCAGCTTGTCCCCAAGAGCACAGGAACACCACTCTAGATAACAAAGAGAAAATCGCTCCCTGCAGGGACCCAAATCGCCCTGAGCCCAGGGTTGCTGGCTTGCTGGAGTTAGGAGGGACGTTTGGAGTCCTCATACCACCCTGAGCCCAGGGTTGCTGGCTTGCTGGAGTTAGGAGGGACCTTTGGAGTCCTCATACCACCCTGAAATGAGTGGAGAATCTGGGAAAAGAATCTGACTCTGATCCAGGACCAATAGCCTTAAAGTAAGAGGACAAAAAGAGGGATTTACTTCTCACCTTTACAGATGGTTCATTACATAAGTCAGTTTGAAATTAATCACAAGACCAACAACTCAATATTGTAGTAAAGTCAAAACATTTGCCAATTGCCTCCTCCAGGACAGTTTCCAGACAAAGCAGTTGTTCTTGAGGGCCTTTTACACACATCACTCCCGATGCCTTCATTGTTTTACACAACCCTTATGACAACCTTCTAGAATAGGTTTCATTCTTCCTATTTTTACAGAAAACAAAATAGAGTTTCAGAGACGATAAGTGGCTTACAGAAGGCCAGAAAGCAAGCAAAATGCACAGCCTTCATTCTAACTGACTTTCCCCAACTTCATGGGTTTATACTTAAAAAAAAAAAAGGTCCTTTAATTACAAAGGAGAATATCAATTACCGGCAATGCCACCACCTCAAGAAACCATTTCTATAATTTTGGCATATGATCTTTTCTCCATATACACATAAACAATAATCTTACATGTATATTTTAAACATTTTAAAACAATAATGGGGTCGGGCACAGTGGCTCACACCTGTAATCCCAGCACTCTGGGAGGCCAAGGCAGGTGGATCACCTGAGGTCAGGAGTTCGAGACCAGCCTGGCCAATATGGCGAAACCCTGTCTCTACTAAAAAAATACAAAAATTAGCTGGGCGTGGTGGTACACACCTGTAATCCCAGCTACTCAGGAAGCTGAGGCAGAAGAATTGCTCAAACCCAGGAGGTGGAGGCTGCAGTGAGTCAAGATTGTGCCACTGTACTCCAGCCTGGGTGACAGAGTGAGACTCTGGTCTCAAAACAAAAACAAAAACAAAAACCCAAACCATAATGGTATCACACAGCATGTTCTATTTCTATTCAATAAATCAAGCTCTACATCAGTGCTTCACATACAAGGGAAGGTCAGGGCTAACCCCACCACCCCCTTGAAGACCTATCACAACGTCACAACTTGTCCCTGTTGGCTTAGAAACAAGTATCACTGAAATTCAAACTTGGGAAAGTCTTATTCGTCAAACTGACCCACAGAAAATTCAAGGTCATATTCATTCCTGACGGTGGTATAAGACTATCCATTTTTCCTACACCTTGAACTCCCTTGGACAATGCCACTTTTTTCATGTCTGCTAATCTTATAATAATTGCTGCTGTACAAGGTCACCTAGACAGTAAAAGACAGAATCAGGATTTGGACCCAAGCACTCTGGCTCTAGACTCTAATTTTTATTTTTATAGAGATGAGGTCTCACTATGTTGTGCAGGCTAATCTAGAGCTCCTGGCCTCAAGCGATCCACTAGCCTGGCATCCCAAACTGCTAGGATTACAGGCATGAGCCATGGCACCCAGCCCCAGACTAGAGTCTTAACACGAGACTCTACTACATAAAACAGTATCTATGTACTCATTTCTAGTAAGTCCTCATTCTCTCCTAATGAGAAGGAGCTATTTTTTATATGTGAGTTATTTCTTCTATCAGTAGAATTTCTCTTTTTCATAGTAATTACAAGGGTTCTTTATAAAGTCAGGCTAATAACGTCTTTTTTTCTTTTTTCTTTTTTCTTTTTTCTTTTTTTGAAACAGAGTCTCACTCTGTTGCCCAGGCTAGAGTGCTGTGCTGGAGTGCAGTGGCATAATCTCAGCTCACTGCACCCTCTACCTTCCAGGTGCAAACCATTCTCCCGCCTCAGCCTCCCAAGTGGCTACGATTACAGGCGTGTGCCACCATGCCTGACTAATTTTTGTATTTTTAGTGAAGATGGGGTTTCACCACGTTGGCCAAGCTGGTCTCGAATTCCTGACCTCAAGTGATCCTCCCGCATTAGCCTCCCAAAATGCTGGGATTACAGGCATGAGTCACCATACCCGACCCCAGGCTAACAACTTTTTTATCTGTTGTATATGCTGCAAATATTTTTCAAAGTTTCTCCTTTAACTCTGTTTACAGTTTTTAGTTTTTACGTAGTCAAATCTATCACTTATCCCCCTTTATGGCTTCTGTCTTTGAGCTCATGCTTGGAAAGCTCTTCTCCTTCCCAAGATTATGAAATTATTGAACTACACTTTCTTTTTTAAAAATTTTTTTACATTATAACATTTAACCCATCTAGAATTTATTTTGTAATAAAAACAGAGATGAGATAAGAGTTTGAATTTTATTTTCCTGAATGCTTTGGCAATGGGCTTCACATAATTTTCTGGCTAAATCATTATTTCCTCACTTCTTTGAAATGTCAACTTTATCATCCTGTGAAATATTACCTTTTTTTTAGTTTTTGGATTTTCCAGTGTTTTCCATGGAGCTCTCTGTCAATACCCCCATCAATATCAGTCTGTAATATTCATTATGCTTCATGCTTTAACAACAAACAGGGCTACCTTCTAGGTGCTACATGCCCCAATCACAAAGGTGCCACCTGCTACGATAATATAATAGCATTTAAAGAAACAAATGCCAAATTTAAAATCATTCTTCAAAATAACAACCTTACATATTCATAACATGGAAAGACAACAATATTCTAGCAAATATTGTAGATGACAACACAGAAATCAAGTCTAAGGGCCGGGCGTGGTGGCTCAAGCCTGTAATCCCAGCACTTTGGGAGGCCGAGATGGGCGGATCACGAGGTCAGGAGATCGAGACCATCCTGGTTAACCCGGTGAAACCCCATCTCTACTAAAAAATACAAAAAACTAGCCGGGCGAGGTGGCAGGCGCCTGTAGTCCCAGCTACTCCGGAGGCTGAGGTAGGAGAATAGAGTAAACCCGGGAGGTGGAGCTTGCAGTGAGCCAAGATCCGGCCACTGCACTCCAGCCTGGGCGACAGTGCCAGACTCCCTCTCAAAAAAAAAAAAAAAAAAAAAAAAAAGAAATCAAGTCTAAGATTTCACAACATGCTATTTAAGATCCTGTTTAACTCAGATCTATGTCGGGAATTCATGCTAGTCACATGAATCAATCAGAAGTAAATTCCTGATATACGTGATTAAAGTAACTCAAATAATATTCATCCAAAAAAAAAAAAAAATCCAGGCTCCCAATGTGCACCTTACTAACCGTGTTCCTTAACAAGTGCATATAAATAATTATGAACAATGTGAGGCTGAGGCAGGCGGATCGCCTGAGGTTAGAAATTCATGACCAGTCTGGCCAATATAGTGAAACCGTGTCTCTACTAAAAAAATACAAAAATTAGCCAAGCATGGTGGTGCGCACCTGTGGTACCAGCTACTCAGGAAGCTGAGGCAGGAGAATCGCTTGAACCCGGGAAATGGAGGTTGCAGTGAGCCGAGATCGCACCATTGCGCTCCAGCCTGGGCGACAGAGTGAGACTCTGTCTCAAAAAATAAATTAATTAATAAATAATTAAGAAGCATGGCTTGTGACACTGCATCAGTCACCAACCGCAGAGGTGTATCAGGGCCACACTGCCTTTAACCACTCAGACCTCCCTGACAATCTCCACTTCCCCTCCTGCCAGATCAGCTTTAGGTGTACATATACGTAGAATAACAGTGACATCTAATGGTCACAAAATATGTCACATAACATTTATTTAGAATAAAACCACATGCACATTCTAGGCTGGAAGGCCCAATCAGGTACTTTTCAGCTGCACACACCAGGCTCCTATTTTAAATTCCATGCCTCAGTGGGCCCTGAGTGATTCGGAAGACCATCAGAAACCACACTGCATGTGATACCAACAACAACGCATTGCATTATTCCTCATTAGTTCTTACTATGCCCATTTCTCTCCAACCATCGGCTCAAGTGACAATGATAAGAGTAAGGAGACATGGTACTGACAACTCGTCCCTCAAACGGCCCCTCAGGAGAATTCTGAGCATACCTTCTGAAAAGAGCCATTTGCATTCTGCATATTTAGAGAGCGGACACCTACTGCCCTCAGTCAAATCAGAATGCACATCATTCTCATCCTCCTCCTCTCAGCAGTTACCGGGCAGTGTCAGGGGGGCCAACGGCAGCATTTACTTTCCAGTGAGTTATCCAAATACCATCAGCCAGGCCTCAGCATAGGCCAGGAGAGGGTTCCCCCTCCAGCAACACAAGGCCCCCTTCCTCACCGATTCCAGCTGCTTTCAGAGTGCTGTCTTCTTTCAGCAGGAGTCTGTCGTCATCTTCCAAACTCAACACAAGTTCATTTGTCTAAAAAAAAAAAAAGAAAAAGAAAATCTGCATTTTATCAGTACTTACATGGGTGTGTTCCGTGAGACTTCTCAAAGACACAGAGTTGTAACTTTGAGCACAGCAATAATCTAAGTAGATTCCACTCCCCTGGCCATAATGAGGGCAGTGAACAGAGGCACAGTGAGGTCCTGCCAAGTGCAGGCACCACTTAAAGCACTGGGGAGAGTCCTGCCACTGGCGTGGCAATGAAGTCAGATCAGGATGCAAATCCAGACTCCACCAGCACTCAGCTGTGTGTGTGTTCTCAACAAGCTACATGACCTCTCTAGGACTCGATTTCCTCGTCGGTAGAAAAGGGGAGGAGAGGGCTCCTTCCCCATCACCTGTGGTAAGGGTGACAGGATGGAGCATATAAATCCTCAGCAGTGCCGGCCACAGGGTGAGCACTCTCTCTTAGCTGTCACTGTTCTGTTGCTGCATCATCATCATCTTCTCCTGCCATCCTAACCTGGTCAGCGACAGAGCAGAGCTTCCAGCTCTGGCCAGTCTGACTTCTGAGAGAAGCAAGTATACTTCCTTCTTTTGTTTTGTTTTTTGAGACAGGGTCTCACTCTGTCACCTAGGCTGGAGTGCAGTGGCATGATTATGGCTCACTACAGCCTCAGTCTCCAAGGCTCAAGCAATCCTCCCATCTCCAGCCTCCTGAGTAGCTGGGACTGCATATATGTGCCACCAAGCCTAATTTTTTTTTGTTTTTAGTAGAGACGGGGTCTCACTATATTGCCCAGGCTCATCTCGAACTCCTGAAGTCAAGTGATCCTCCCACCTTGGCCTCCCAAAATTCTGGGATTACAGGCATGAGCCACCACACCTGGCCACAAGTATACTTCAAATGGCCATAAGTCCACATATCTAAAAACCTTGCCCAAGCTAAAAAACATTTGGTTCCATGTCAGATTAATTGGAATATTTCTCTATGTGATTTGGGGTGGGGGTAAACAAGAGTGCTCTCCAGTGATATTTACAAATCCAGCGAGACTCCACAAATACAAGTGAAAAATTTAAAGTTGCTATCTGCCCCTAAATAGCACAAAGAGATGACCACTAGTGTCACACAGCACCACTTGTCAACCAGAACACACCTGTTTAGCAACATATTCTATTTCTAGAATACAGCTGAGACAGAGAGTCAACAGAAAGGCCTCTCAGCAGCCAAATCCGAAGCCCAAGCCACGCAGGGTTCATGGACCTCATTCACTGCAGAGCACAGGGGCTTAAACTCCAAAGCACACACATTAAAAGAAAAAATACTTTACTCAAAAAATCATTTTAGAATAGGTAATACAGTCTGTAATCCCAGCACTTTGGGAGGCCAAGGCAGGAGGACTGTTTGAGCCCAGGAGTTTGAGACCAGCCCGAGCAGGATGGCATAGACCCCATCTCTACAAAAAAAAAGTTTTACTTAATTAGCTGGGTGTGGTGGCACACATCTATAGTCCCAGATACTCAGGAGGCTGAAGATGGGAAGATATCTTGATCCTGGGAGGTAGAGGTTGCAGTGAGCTGTGTTCATGCCACTGCACTCCAGCCTGAGCAACAAAGTAAGACTCTGTTTCAAAAAAAAAAAAAAAAAAGGAATAAAGTAATTTTTTTTTAATTCTTTGTATAATAACTCATTATACAAAGTTCTCCAAGCACATATGAATAGGAAGTGAAAAGTCAGTCCCCTCCCAATCCCCATCCACCAGCTATCTAGTTCTCCAGAGAGGACTGGGACCACTGAGAGGCCCTATTTCCCATACTCTCCCAACAGTGTGTTAGCAAAGCCTTCTGATCCTTGCCAATCTGACAGGTGTGGATTAAGTATAGTCTTAATTTGTATTTTATTATGCTCAAAGTTCTGAATATTTTCTATTTTTTGATGGAGTTGTAGGCTAATTTATCCAATAGAGTTGTAGAGTCTAGAGTATCTTCATATGCTAAGGAAATTCAGCCTTTTCTGTAAGTTAGAAAAATTTCCCCCACTTTTTATTTGTTCCTTGCTTTTTCTCAGTGTTTTTGTTTGTTTGTTTGTTTTGTTTTTTTTACATAGAAGGTGTTAAATTAATTTTCTTGGAATAAATAAGTTAGTGAACGAAGTAAAATATATCAGTCTCATATTGTTTCTCAGTTTTCTGTCATATTTAGAAAGACCTTCTTCACTCCAAGATTTTTAAAATTCCACGTTCTCTTCAAATATTTTCATGAATTTCATTTTTTGACTTTTCATCATGGAGAATTTCAAATATACAATAAATACAGAATAGTGTAATAAACCCCCTGCCCTGTACCCAGGACCCAACTTGAACAAATTATCAAGTCATGTTCCATCTGTTTCATCTCTATCCTCATCTATGGGTTTAATTTTTTAATCCAAGGGGTATTTATTTTGGCATAAAGAAAAATACACAGATTCAACTTAGCTGCTTTTTAGATGTTTATGCAGTTATTCAAGTACTATTTATTGAATCCGCCATCTTTTCTTTACAAACCTGAAATGCCATATTTACCATACATTCAATTTCCACGCTGGGGTCTATTTTTGAACTTTTAATTCTGTGCCCTTAAACTACCAGTTCATGTGATAGTGCCATACTGTTCTAATTACTACAGTTTTATAACATGTCTTATATGTTAGAGCTAATTACTCTCATTTCTCTTTTTCAGAGTTCTCCTGATTATTCGTATTTTTTACATACTAATTTTCAAATCAGCTTATTTAGTTTACATATAAACACAAGTATTGTGTGTTATTGGGGCAGCATTAAATATGTAAATTGAGAGAATTGATTTTGTGCTGTTGTATCTTCCTATCCAAAATATCCTAAGCATTTCTGTTTAAGTCTTATTTTGGAACTCTCATAGCAGGTTTTGTTTTGTTGTTAAGTTGAAGTACAATTTCACACTATAAAATGCACAGATCTTGAGAGGAGTTCACTTTAATGGGTCTGAAAAATTAATCCCAGAGCTTAGATTCATATTTTCAAGTGTGTGTGTGGTGAGGGGTGAGGAAGGACAGCAGCATTTTAAGTTTTCTTTTTAAAGACCCTGCACATTTCTTATAAAGTTTATTCCAGGATATGACTTCCACACATAAAATGGAAATTCAAGTTATTGCAATCTCTTTAATAGAAATTATTCTAACTTTATAAACAGACCACTGATTACATCCATAATACACACATACACACACACACACACACACACACACACACACACACACACACGAGGCTATGGTGGGAAGGTATCCGGTCAGTCTTTTTATTGTTGGAATGGGAAGAAATTTCTGAGGATATGTAGTAACTGCAATTAGGAAAGTCTCTAAGTCCAGAAAACTAGGGAAATGGGAAAAATGCCTTTTATGAATGAGTTCATTAAGACAACAGAATTATTTAGAAGTCTCTCCTTTTGGCTGATGAAGGAAATTAAAATTATAGCTGAGTTGGAACACTGACAGGCCAAGCCAGCAATGCCACAGGTCCCGCAGATGGGGAATAGAAAATGAAAGGACAACAATAACTTGGAAATGAGAAAAATGACTGTGAGCTGGATAAGGCACAAATGAGGACATGTGGATGAAGTTTCTTTGAAGTTTTAAAACTGTATCTGTGAAAATATATTGACCTCTTCCCTTAGAAAAGTTGAAGTAGAAACTTGCAGAACCATCCCCAGGGCATCTTAACTAGCATTGTTATGATTTGGATGAAAGTTTATAAAGCTAGATTCCAGAAGCACTCTAAGTGACTTAATTGTTTTGGAAATCCTCCCTTAAACAAATACATTGTTCAACTGTAAAGACAAGCCCTAATTTTATAACTAGAACCTGCCAGTGTGAAACATATGTCTTAAATATAAGTAACAATTCTAAGATTGTTTTGTCTTCCAATGACAGGATAATTTCCAGATTTCTAAAAATGTTATAATACTGATAATTTGAACACGATGAACTATGTCTTCACTAAGATAAAGGAATAATTTACTACTTACTCCTTTTTGGAAACATGAGCATATGAAAAGCCAAACGATGTAAAACATGCAGCAATGAATGGAGAATGGGGACTCACTTTGCTTTACAACCTTTTCAAAGAGCATATTGTTTTAACTTTATTTTATATTTATATTTGTATTTTAAATATATTGTATATAATATATAAAAATATAAAATAGGACATTTCCTATTCTCTACATTTTAGGAATGAGGTTGAAAACATTTCTGTCCCCAAGGAGAGAAATTGGACGAAGTCCAAATACGGTGGCCCTATATTCTAGTACCAATCAAAGGGGCAGATTCCATATCACAGCCCCAGACACATGTGAGCATGACATTTTGAGGCATTTCACAATGGATATTGTAAAACTGGCATATACAATCATTGGTATGAAAAATAAAGTAACTAGAAGGAACCAACCCTACTAAACCCTTAACTTTTGCTCAGTGAAACTGATTTTGGACTTCTGACCTCCAGAATTGTGGGAGAATAAACGTGTGTTGTTTTAAGCCACAAAAAAATTTTTAAATAAATTTTAAAGCAGTTATCAATCAATGGTCAACAGACATACCCTCATGCCATTTTCTTGTGATCTGTGATACCCATTTATCTGAAAGGTGATTGAGTGTATGAAGTACAATTACGACAACAGAAGACAATGAAATAAAATGAATTCATAAGTACTTCATTCAAAAATTGTTACGGAAAAACTACTATGAGCCAGGCATTGTGCCAGGTATTGGGATATGACAAATAATATCTTGTTCTTGAGTAGTTTATATAATACAGTAAGATTACTGCTTTAAAGAGGACTCTATAGAAGGCCACTGAGATTAAAGGGGAAAAAAAATCACTCTGTCTGTCTGATAATTCTTTGATTGTGGCTTCATAAAAATGTTACTCCAAAAAAGTAAAAAAACAGAAATATAAACACGCATCAAACCCATACATAAACAGCTCTCTTCGGGAAAGGCAAGACAACTTCAGTATTGCAGGCCGTGGCCTTGGTGGAGCTAAAAGGTGTGCTCCCAGAGCCACGGTTCTGTGCCTTCTCTTATACCCAGCAAGAATCAAATCAGAACAAGTGAATTATTTGTGTTTGCTTCTGGCCCTTTTGTTCTGGTACAGAATTAAGAAAATAAAAGACACTGGATTGCCAGATAATAAGCAGTTTCTTTTATCTGTAAACTGAATTTACTTTTCCAAGTTTTATGCTTATTTTATGCTAAATATGTGCCTGATAAACAAAATATGGTATACTTTTTTTTTAATTAACACTTTTTTAAAAAGGACCTACTACTAACAGGGAAATAGCTTATTTTTCTTCAATGAAAAAGCCAAGGCAGTAGAAAGGGTACCTATAAAATAAAAAGCGCTATTATAATGGGAAATATTTTAGATGTACAGGTATTCATTCACTTATTCACAAATTCAACCAACATTGATTACTTGCTATGTGCCAGATACTGTACCTGTGGAACATACCTTTGATTTATGTGCTTGATGAATAATCTTTAGTGTATCTGAAAGAAAAAAGCAAGTTATCTTTTTACACAGTTTATTCTAAACTTCTTTTCAAATTATTAAAATGATTGGAGGGTGGCTATGAAATTGAGAAATGTAAGTCCTTGTTTTTTTTTTTTTTTTTTTTTGATGATTGGCATCTCCTCACTCGCCCGGTTTCAATTCTCTGTAATATATAAGGATGGCTATTTTTTTTTTTGAAGGGTTATTTAGATGGTAATTTATGTATCCCGTCTCGTAAGTCCTTGTTTTATAACCAGACTCACTTAGAAATATACTATATAGTAAAAGAAAAATTACTTTTGTAGATCATTAAAATTTTATCTTTTAAAGCCTTGGTCTTTAGACACACAGCAGTGTGTGTCAGAACTTTATGTCAACTCAGCACATTTTCTCTTAGAATGGAAGACAAGCAAATCACATTACTGTATCTTGTTTTTTGGAGTCACTACAGACCAGGATTAGCAAATAATGTAAAAAAAAAAAAAAAAAAAAAAAAAAAGTCTTAAAATACACATTAGCAAAAGCAGTTTAAAAAAATCTACTCAGACGACATACAATGACAAGAGAGCAAATGATGACACAGGTGTTGCCACTCTCAGAATTCAAACACTGTATCTAGGACCACAGGTATTTGGAACAAAGGCTGCCAATGCCCCAAGAATATCAATATCTGCCTCTTGGTTTGCAAATACTGCACAGGCTCACACCATTTAATCTGCTCTATTCAAACCCAGCTTCACTCCTTAATTTGTTTATCTTGAAGTCAGGCTACACTGTGCATTTCCAGTAAGTAACTTCTCCACACTTGGGTAAAATTCTAATTCAGCAACAATCAGCCCTTAATTACATAATCTACGCAGCCATTCAACAGGTTGAAATTCAGAAAGTTTCCAATTCTTCACTCGTTTTTATTTAACCATTTAATGAATGCATTATGATGACAATGTATTACTGAATAAACTCCCAACCTTACACTAAAACTCATTTGTATCAATCACGTTGTAACAAGGAATTCCAACAGTGGCAGGAAATGAAAGGATCTATTTTTAAAACAGATCTTATTTAACTATGTTCTAATAATACAGAATAAGGTGGCTATCGAGATAAGAACTAGCACTGTGAATCTGCCAATTATTTTAAATAGTCAACTTTCAGTTATCCATTGCAATTTTTTTTTTTTTTTTTTTTTTTGAGACAGAGTCTTGCTCTGTCACCCTGGCTAGAGCACAGCAGCACTATCTTGGCTCACTACAAGCTCCACCTCCCAAGTTCAAGTAACTCTCCCGCCTCAGCCTCCCAAGTAGCTGGGATTACAGGCGCCCGCCACCACACCCGGCTAATTTTGTATTTTTAGTAAAGACAGGGTTTCACCATGTTGGCCAGGTCTCGAACTCCTGACCTCAGGTGATCCGCCCTCCTTGGCTTCCAAAGTGCTGGGATTACAGGCATGAGTCACTGCACCCGGCCTTGTAACTTTTTATACAAGGTCAACATAATCCTCAGACTATAACTCTGTATTCCTAAGAAATAAAAATAAATCTAACCTAAGTAAAATGTGCATATTAGGGATGTAAACAAACCGTAATTGCTAAAAACAAGCTTAAAATGTGTGTAAGAAAATAAACAAAGCTGACTTTCAGCTTATCTAGTATTCTGAATTACCTATCATGCTCTTTTTCTTACTGTAGGTATGTTCATTATTTGAGACAAGTGAGAGAAGCCAATAGTAATTTTTTAAATAACAGGAGCTCAAAGTCTGTTGCAATCAACCTGCAAAACTATAGTCTGACCTTACTAAATATTAATCCTGTTCTATATATTTTGCTAATGAGCCTTTCAACTAGAAATCCTGCTGCTCTAATAGGTTTGGCAAACACACAACTAAATGGCTACATATTTTAGCAGAAAAAGAAATGTTTTGAAGAGAAGTTTTTGCCAGATTTTTCTCTCCAACAGAAAGGGGTGTGACCTGAGGAGTGGGTAAGAAAGGAGAAATGACAAAGCAGCAAAGAGATGTATTACTGTCCCTTTCTGTGTTGAATAAGTTACTTCCCTTGTTCTTGCTTCTTTCAAATCATCCTCATAATGATCACAAACAACACCTATGGGCATTGTTTTCTAAATACAAATTCCTTGAGGAAAGCAACCTCACAAAAATATCATCTTGTATTTGTGCAGCATCTCACTCAGCTTTACGAAACAGAGAGGGATGAGCAGCCCACACTGTACAACAACTACATTTTTGTGTGCCCTCATGCGTCATGTCTAGGCGATAGGGATTTAAGATAAGTAGCATGCGTGGTAAATCAATAATAGACGTGGATGCCAATTAAATGGGAGGAAGGCTCTAAGAAATCTCAGGCTCTTGGTGGCAGAGAGAACCAGCCCTTTGCCAAAGGGCAGGGAGACAGTAACAGGCAAAACTGAAATTTGACTCCACACTCTTTCCACTCCCTAATAACCAACAAAGTGCTCTGTCCCGCAGACTGTGAGGTGGCAATCTCAGACTGTGAGGTGGCAATCTCGGATGACAATGACAGGCGAAAATAACACTGCAGCCTTCCTTGTTCAACAGAAAGCAGAAGATTGTTAAAGAGCCAAGTTCAGACAAAGCCACTTGAAGTCTACGAAAACTCGAGTGGTTCTAGAATTTCTTCACAGATAAATGTATTCATTTTTTCTGCCAATTCATCTGAACAGTATAGAAATACTAGGACAGAAGGATGTTAATAAGATAGAATAGCCTAAAAGGTACATTATCTACCACAATAATGCTTAGCAACTTGGATATTCTAACGCTTTCATTATCTAAAATTTCTTTCAAAAGAACTTCCATGGAACACAGCTTTGCACATAGACATATAGACACACACACACACACACACACACACACCCACACACCATGAAAAAGGAAGCCATATGTAACTATTCTAATTTAAAATGGCATCTGTAAGTTGATTCAAGTTTAAGGCTATATTTCAAGACATTGTATTTTGAAAGCCTTGAAAGCCACAATTGAGAAGTTTCATATTTACCTTAATCATCCTTTTTATTCCTTTCTCTTATTCAATATTGAGTATGTAAATTCTTTAAGCCCAATAAATCAAAGTACTTTCCACTCAGTGCCTTCAACTTCTGCTTCACTACCCCTTATAACCTTACAATTAGTTTCTGGATATTAAAATGCATACACACGGTGAAGATTGTGATTTCAAAGGATTTTAGGTCATAAGTTGTTCTATCAAATGAGAACAGAATGAAAAGCCACTCCAAAAAAATAATCTAAGGTAATAAAAAATTTATACTTTAAAATGTCTGCACCAATTAACAGAAATATGTATTAGGTGCATGATATCTTTCAAGTGAAGTCTCAAATTCAAAGATTGGTGAGTGTCCCTCTGCTGAAGGTCAATAACTGTGCCATCTTTATAACAAATAATGAATGACATCTAGCTTCTTGCCTTATTACTCCATTTTTAAATCATCAATTGTAACATATAAAACTACGATATAACATGCTCAAATTACTGGCATTTAAAATGTTAAATCCCTTATTTTAATTCTTAGTCTTCAATCATTTTCCTTTTCTAATTATCTGGCAGAGAAACTCATTTTAAACATAGTTTTGCCAAACATGCTATTCTTTGCAAATATGTCACTTCCTTACTATTACAATTCATTTGCGCAACATACCAGCATTCCTATATTTCTAAATAAACTTCCAAATTGGTTTTTATTTACAGATAGTCAATTCATTTTTGAAAACAAAATATAAGTTTGTAACAAACTAATGCAAAATTGTATTAATATATAGTTTAAAAGAATAAAAAAATGGTTACCATATTTATAATTTCTGAATGGTGGTGGCAGGCTGGTCCTTAAAGGGACATCTACAAGAGAAAGATTATTTGTATTACACAATAAGCAAATAGACACTCATGGAATATGTACAGTCTTTTGGTTCTACTCTTCTCTATCTACAGACTAAGTTACTTTGAAAAACCTGATAGAACACAGAACGAACACATCACCGAAATCCAAGGGCCATCTATATTAGTTCATTTTCATACGGCTATAAAGAAATACCCAAGACTATGTAATCTATTTAAAAAAACGTTTAATGGACTGGGGAGGCCTCACAATCATGGCAGAAAGTGAAAGAGGAGCAAAGGCACATCTAACATGGCCAGGCAAGAGGGTCTGTGCATGGGAGCTGCCCTTTATAAAACCATCAATCTCATGACACTCATTCACTATCATAAGAACAGCGCGGGAAAAACCCACCCCCATGATTCAATTGCCTCCCACCAGGTCCCTCCCCTGACAGGTGGGGATTATGGGAGCTACAATGCAAGACAAGATTTGGGTAGGGATACGGACAAAGCATATCACCATCTAAAATATTAGAGCTATTGACAAGATGTTGAGTTGTTACTATTTGAACTAAGACTTCAGTAACACTATTAAAAGAATTTTTAATTTCATTAAAGACAACAGTATCTATGTATAGTTAAAATATATACTAATACACTTGTGTGAGACATATATATATAGCTGATGTTTGTTTAGCATATGAATCTGAGAACCCCTTATGGGTCTCTGACCATTAGTGGAAACCAATGACCTGGAACAATCTTACTACTCTTACCAAAATTCATATAACCAATAAATAACTCCTCTAACTCTGAAAAGACAACAAAACAAAACACAGTAAATATTCTTTTAAAAACATATTCCAAATGCCAGTACTAATTTTAATTAATAAGATCTGCTGGTACAACACCTAACAGAGAAATGTGTGTGTGTGTGTGTGTGTATAAAAATTATATATGCATATACTCCTTGACCTAGTCATTCCACTTCAGAATGAATGAGTGAATGAATGAATTTATTAATTGATTGAGACAGGGTCTCATTTTGTTGCCCAGACTGGAATGCAGTGGTGCAAACATGGCTCACTGCAGCCTTGACCTCCCAGATTCAAGTGATCCCCCTGCGTCAACCCCCCAGGTAGCTGGGATTACAAGTGCATGCCATCACGCCCAGCTATTTTTTGAATTTTTTTGTAGAGACGGGGTTTTGTCATGTTGTCCAGGCTGGTCTCAAACTCCTGAACCTAAGCAATCTGCCTGCCTTGGCCTCCCAAAGTGCTGGGATTACAGGCGTGAGCTACTGTGCCCTGCCAGAAATTTATTATCATAGAATTATAGTATGCACATGTGTGCGTGTAAAATGACATTCATAGAAGGGTATTAACTGCAGCATCGCTCACAGCAGAAAATGTTAGGAAAAGTCCAAATGTCCTTCAATTAGGTACTTGTTAAGTAAATCATAATATGCCCAAACAATGAAAAGTACTTTTCAACTGTTAAAAGAAAAAGAAGGAAGCTCTCTACTAACATGATAACATCTTCAAGTTATGTCAAGGCTAAAGAGATATGACAGAACGTTATTTTTAGGATGCTACCTTTTGAGTAAAAAGGGGATGAAATGAGAATTTATGGTTGGATTTGCTTGTACTTGCTGACTGGGGGTAGGGAGGGCAGGGGGTGGTGCACTGGTCAGACAGGGACCAGAAGGGGAAAGGAGACTTTTCACTATATTCCTTTTTACATTTTGATCTTAAAACCACATGAATGTGCTATCTACTAAAGAAAACTAAAAACAAACCAAAAAATCCACATATCTAAATGAGGAAATGTGAAGGTTTTTTGAGACAGGGTCTTGCTCTGTTGCCCAGGCTGGAGTGCAGGGGCGTGATTATGCTCACAGTAGCCTTGACCTTCTGGGCTCAAGCGATCCTCCCACCTCAGCCTCCCAAGTAGCTGGGACCACAGGCACTCAGCACCATGCCCATAGTCCCGGCATTTTTTTTTTAAATAGAGATGGGTTTCACTACGTTGTCCAGGCTGATCTAAAATTCCTGGGCTCAAGCAATCCTCCCACCTCACCCCCAAAGTGCTGGGATTACAGGCATGAGCACCTGGTCAGGAAATGTGGGGTTTTTAAAAATGCTTTTTCAAGGTCAAATACATATCAAATTAAAATAGAATTTATTCATTTATGTTACAAGCATTTAAAGCACCTACTACCAGGTATTCCAGGAACAGAGTGAAAGAGGAGCTGCCCACTCATGACAGCGTGTGCTCCAGTGGTGAATGCTGTTAACAAAAGTACATTTCCAGCCAGTGCTACGGTCCTAGGAGTGTGGTCCTCACCCGGCTACACGTCAGAATCACCCAGCCTGGCACGAGTGGATCCAACTCACAGTAGGCTGGTCCCAGGCAGAGATAGTTAAACACAAAACAAAACAAAACAAAAAAACCCTGAGATGATTCATAGTCAAATAAATTTACCCGGGGGCCAGACAGGTGACAACAGGTGAGTGAAGCAGGTCAAACAAGGAAGGGCAGTGGGATCTGAGAGCACGCGCCCATCAAAGGGGGCTCTGCCAGTCAGTGCTGACTGATCAGTGCTGTAGGAACATGAGCCTGGAGTGGCCACACTGAAAGATTTAAATGGCAGTGCTACAAGTCTAGGGTTTAGGTGAAATTTCTTGACTTTTAAAACACTATGGGCCAAAAGAAACCTCTCTGGAGGCAGGATTTGCCCTGCCAGACACCAATTTGAAACCCCTGGCTTAGGCTTACAAGAGTATACGCACTTCATTTTATTCTTCTTCTGTCTCAATCATTTGTGAATTATGGGCCAAAGAAGTATTCATTAAACATCAGAAAGGAGAATTAATTCCATTTAATGTATTGCCATTTTTATTTCCTGAATCAGACAATGAAACTCCCTGAAGAAAGCCGTGAGGTGAAGAACAGATGGCCCCATGAAGCTATTATCATTTAGAGATGTCTACGACTGAAGAAATCAAATCAGTCTTATGTTCAGTCCAGACTTTTGAGAGCAGAGACAACGACCAGGACACAGCATGCACCTATTCTCTTCCTGCCTTTAAATCTTAACTGAAGTGCCGCCTCCTCTGACAGCCTGCCTCAAGTGGGGGTCTTCTCTGATATTGTTACCTTCATAACAGGTTTTACAATTATAGTTTTGTCTTTTAACTTATTTTTGTCTCTATTTCCTATGAATTTATAAATTCCTCGAGATGACAACATGGGCTGTCCTCTCAAAACCTAAGACCATGTCCAGCCCATAGCAAATTAACACAAACTGGCTTCATGAGGGCAGGGACCACGGCCCGTTTTCTCCATTGTGTTGTCAGAACCTAAACTAGTGCCTGGTACACAGCATGTGCTCAAAAACATTCATGAAAGAACACATATAATTTAATGCCTACAATTGCCAGTGGAGAACACTGAGGTCTCAAGAAGTGCCTGGTCAGCCCAAGGTGTCAAGAGCTGAGACCAGAACCCAGCCCTCTCCACTCCCCTCCTGCAGCACTTAGAAGGGTGGGAACTAAAGCGGTTACCTTCCACAGTGGCAGAAAGACAGATTAGACATTAGACACACTCCGGTGAGGTAAGAGCTTCAGCAAAAATACACATCAAGATGCCTACAAAGGAACTAGAATAAAACAAACATGTTCCTTAAGGTAAAGGTCATTTTTAATCTTGCACTATTACAAATAAAGCTGGGAGCATTCACATGGAGGAAATTACTTTCATTCCTCACAGGCACATACTGTCATTCCACCTAGAAGTGGAATGGCTGGATCATACGCTAGGTGTATGTTTAGCTTTCTAAGAAACTGCTGGCAGAGTGCAGGGGCTCACACCTGGAATCCCAGCACTTTGGAGGGCCAAGGTAGGAGGATCGCTTAAGCCCGGGAGTTCAAGACCAGCCTGGACAACACAGCGAGACCCTGTCTCTACAAAAATAAAAATTAAAAAAAGACACACCTGTAATCCAGCACTTTGGGAGGCCAAGGTGGGTGGGTCACCTGAGGTCAAGAGTTTGAGACCAGCCTGACCAACATGGTGAAACCCCATCTCTACTAGAAATACAAAAATTAGCCAGGCATGGTGGCACACGCCTGTAGTCCCAGATACTCAGGAGGCTGAGGCAGGAGAATCGCTTGAACCCAGGAGGCGGAGGTTGCAGTGAGCCGAGATCGCGCCATTGTACTCCAGCCTGGGCAACAGAGCAAGACTCCGTCTCAAAAAAAAAAAAAAAGACATGGTAGTGTCTGTAGTCCCAGCTACTCTACTCAGGAGGCTGAAGCAGGAGAATCACTTGAACCCAGGAGTTAAGGCTGCAGTGAGCTATGATTGTACCACTGCACTCCAGCTTAGGGGAGACAAAGCAAGACGGTCTCCAAAAGAAAGGAAAGAAATGATAAATCATGTTCCAAAGTGGTAGTTCCTTTTAATATTGCCACTAGTGGTATATGAGAATTTCAGTTCTTCCACATCCTAGTCAAAACTTGCTACAGTTACTCCTTTAAATTTCAGTCATTCTTATGGATGTGTTGTGTAATCTCATTGTGGTTTTAATTTCCGTTTCACTAAAGACTAATGATGAGTATTAATTAATGTGCTTATCTGCCATATATATGTCTTCTTTAGTGAAGTGTCCGTTCAAATCTTTTGCCCACTTTTAATTGTGTTGTGTGTCTTATTATTGAGTTATAAGAGGTTTTGGTTTTAATTGTTATTATTCTAGATAATAGTTCCTTGTTGGATGTATGTTTTACAAATATTTTCTCCACATCTGTGGTTTGGTTTTTCATTTTTTTAGTATATTTTGAAAAGGAAAAGTTTTTAATTGTGCTAAAGCCCAACTGATTTTTTTCTTTTATAGTTTGTGCTTATTGTGCTGTATTTAAGAAACTTTTACCAAAATTAAAGTCTCTAAGGTTTGTTGCTGTTTTCTTCTAGATGTTTTATAGTTTTACCTTTTACATTTAGTTCTTGGCCAATTT